TGAGCGTTTCCCGCTGGGATTGTCTGTTGACCGGGGTTCAACAAGCGCCATTGAATATTGGACCGAGGAGAAGATAAAGGAGAGGGTGGAGAAAGAGAGAGGCAGCAGCATGGGAATATTGCATGGAAGCAGTGGCAGCGAGGTATACTCAGCAGGACATGAGGACAGTCCAATTTTGCAGTCTTTAGATCCGGTATGTGGGAACTTAGAAAATATACGTGACCTGAGTTTAAGTCAGTCTATTAGCAAGGTTGATACTTGAGATGACAAGACTTTATTTAGAAATGACCAGTGAGATACTGGCATTTGATAACAGTGAACAATTTTTTTGATATCTTCATTTACTGTGTATGCAGGCATTGAAGGAGTTGAGGGCTCGTTTTGTGAAGAAGCTTGAAGAAAGCCAGAGGACGTTAATGAAGGCTCTTGATGATGAGCTACTCAAACTGCAGATTGGATTGAACGCCAAAGTTAAGGGGATGGGGAATGAGAATGCCACTGCTAAAGAAGGGGTTGAAACAGTTGGTGATGCAGCTGGTAACGATGCTGAAGAAGCTGATGATGTTGACCGAGTGGTGGAGGAGATTGCAAGAGAGGTTGCAGCGGGAAGTGCAGATGAGGAACTTGATGAGGATGAAACCAGCAAAGGAGATGATGAGAAGGATGAGGATGAGGATGAAGAACAACATGACCTTCATGACAGGGAAGTCAGTGATGATTACATGGTTGAGGAGGTGGAAGAAGAGGGTGACCGTGATGGTCATGGAGGTGATGACGACGACGATGAGGATGAGGAGGAAGATGACCATGATGACAGGGAAGGAGGTCATGTGGTTGATGAGGAGGAAGATGACCATGATGACATGGAAGTCAGTCATGATTATGTGGTTGAGGAGGCCGAAGATGATGATAAGGAGGTTCGGGATTCAGATGATGAGGGTGAGGAAGCTACACATGTACTGACAATGACCCCTACCAATGTTCCTTTGCTGTTGGATCGAGAATGGGTGAGCAGTGACAGTGGGGAGGAAGGAGGGCCTGAAAAATCGATTGACCTTAGGAGGTCAACAAGGGCAAAGAGTTCCACAATTAAATCTCCGTGGATAGAATTCAAGGCAGCTCCGAGGACGAAGAGGCCAAAGGAGGAAAGTGACATCTTTTTCACTTTAATATCCCGTAGACCCAAGGGAGAGGAAGAGGGGAATATGTAAGTATATCCGTAGCTAGTGTTTTGTTTTTAAATGACACAGTGTGCCCTGAAATGACAGCAATAGGATTGAAAATGACAATAACATACATGGGAATGACAAGTATTGATGTCCCCAACACCATACTTTCTGTCACTGACATCTGACAATGTTTGCAGGACTGTCATCAAAATGTTTGATGAAGATATAGACCGACAACAGCTGTTTTCCCTGGGTGGAGTGAACAGAGTAAATAACAGGGTATTTTAGAATGCTCTGTCCCTGCACCCACGATTATGTTTGATAATGTTTGGTGAGATTATTGTACCAGAATGACGTTTTCACTTGTGTTCTGTAGGTGCTTAATTTGGTGTGCAAGGCAGTGATGGAGGACATGAAGGCAGAGTTGGGGCCAGGGAAGAGGCACATTTTCGATGTTGATTTCATGGTGAGGTTGCATAATTCCAAATGCAAATACCAATGACAGCAATTGAATTGGAAATGACTTGTTCTCTGTTAATGGATTAACAATTTCATGTCATGCAGAACATGATGGCACATGATCCAACCTGGAAAGCCCAAAAATATAAGAAGCTCTTTCTTCCTGAGTTCTTGGCTACAACTTAGCTGAATGTGATTTCATAATTGGTCCTGCTCTTGTTGGCCAACACTGGTTTTGCGTTGCCATTCAGCCTAGCACATTGGATTTCCACGTAATAGACTCCATGAGGAACCATTTCGGAACCAAGGACAGAAAGCAGAAGAAGAAGGTTGTCATCAAAGACCCAGTGGAAATGGCTGTGGATGATTGTGTAAGAAAAAACTCATTATCTTTACCCTAGTTTTTGAACTTGGAAAATCATTAAACTTTCTATGTTGGTCCTGAATGTTGTTGCAGAGGAAGAGGCTCAATATTATACTGGACTTGGTCAAGCCAGGATTGGTTGGGAAAAAGCCAATGTCTCCCATGATATTTGCAGAAGTTCCCCAGCAGAATAACCTGTCAGTTTTGTCAAATTCGATTTCTGTGGGGTAAATGCACATGTCAGATGTGTTAACTAACTGTGCTGATATTGTTGCGTCCACAGGAGGGATTGTGGGGTGCACTGCATGATGTGGCTGAGAAGATGGGAACCTGGTGTGACCCTTACCTACACAGAGGAAGAAGTTGCTGGCTTTCGTCGTGACCTGACATGGTGGTTGGTCAATCATGAACAGAATGAAAAACGTGACGAGGCATTGGCCCTTATTCGACGACCACAACCAACCAAGAGCACAAAGTCCAAGAAAAGGCGTCGGTCTTAGGTGTCTCGATGTTAGGGTCATAATTCACTTGTCCTCTGTTAGATTGCTGTATGTAATGTGCATTGTAGGCTGACCAAAAATTTACTGTGTATTGTTATGGTTAACAGAGATTGGTGTCCATAAATGTATGATAGTTGAGAACCATGATGCCAATTTATTCCCCAGTGACATGAATGAATCTGGTTTTAACCACACAAAACAGATGATGACAACAACCCCATTGGACATGTGCTATTGGTTTTCATTTTTTGTTCAGGTCACTAAATTTTACTTCAATATATCCTGTTGGTATCCAACAGAAAATGACACGAAGTGAAGCGAATATGACAGCGATAATGACAAGGATCACCTGGTCTGATTTTACAACATCAGTTCAACACGGCTGTCAGCTTATGCTGATAGCATCACTGCCAATGACCAGAACAAATTTAAAAATGACACGAAGTGAAGCGAATATGACAGCGATAATGACAAGGATCACCTGGTCTGATTTTACAACATCAGTTCAACACGGCTGTCAGCTTATGCTGATAGCATCACTGCCAATGACCAGAACAAATTTAAAAATGACACGAAGTGAAGCGAATATGACAGCGATAATGACAAGGATCACCTGGTCTGATTTTACAACATCAGTTCAACACGGCTGTCAGCTTATGCTGATAGCATCACTGCCAATGACCAGAACAAATTTAAAAATGACAACAAGTAATGCGCCATTAACAAAAGCTAACATCCCCATAACAGTAACTTCCTTTCATGTATTCAACAAGTGGACATTAAGATACTAGCCACACTTAATGCTCCGTTATCACTGAAATAACTATCAGCTTACTTACAAAAAAATGTCTCCACCTAGCTCCTAACTACAACCCCAGTCCCAAAAAAGTTGACAAGGGCGGAGCATACAACTATGTACACCAAAAAATGACCCATCCCCACTGTACTCGAAACTTCATGATGGGTTAGGATTTCTGCAATTCCTCCTTGTGTGTCCAGGCTGGTGGCATCTTCCACAGTGGTATATCCGTTTGTTCTGGAACTGTGATTCATCCCTGTTTACTTTTGGCCTTCCTGGTGGTCGGGATGTCATGGGAGGTAGCAAGAAAACTTGCTCACTGACATTTTCTATTCTATAGTAGTCATTTGGGTGAGGCATGTCTGTTGTTACCACAGGAATCATACTGCGAGCATAGATCTTTTCTTGTGATGACTTTTTATAGCAATTATCAATATAATCATAAACATTGCCGTGCACAATCTTGATGGCAGCACAAGCATGGGAACAAGGGATCCCCGTCATTTGCCAAGATCTGCAACTGCATTGGTGTAGTCCAAGATCAACCCGATGGTCTCCACGTGATGTTGTCACCTTCACTCTTCCCCACCATAATTTTCAGCATACATATGGTCAGACCCAGCCACCATATCCAGCACCTTACTCTCTATATTTGGACCAACGCAATTCTTCCATTTGGTCATACCCACATAGGAGGCATGCAGCTTTCTTGCAACTTTATCTCGGTGCTCATAGATCAATTGGGGTACAGTATGCTTTCTCTCATTCACCATCCATGCATTGAATGATTCTGCTATATTGGTTGTAATATTGTCCCATCTTTTATATGGGAACCTACTTTTAGCCCACCTATCTACATCCCCATGATGAATAAGCCAATCAAATAGCCTTGGAGAAAAGGATCTCATGTCATCCATTGCTGCCTCAAATTTCTCATCCGTCCTTGCGTATGCAATTTTATCCAATAAATATAGTGCATCCTCCTTTGATCGGCCATTTGTCCTTGTTTGCCCCTTATTCATTTTCATAACTTCTGAACTAAAATTCTCCTTGATGTGTCTATAACAAAAGGCATGCCTTTGACCCCCAAAGATTGATGCCACTCCTCCGATGATAGCATTGTGTCGATCTGATACAATCGTTACTTCCACAGAACCCAGGATTTTTTTATCATATAGAAAAACCACGTCCAGTCATCTAGTGTTTCTCCCTTCACAATTGCAATTGCAAATGGCAGCAGCTCGTTATCTGCATCATAAGCTGAAGCTGACAACATTGTCCCCTTGTATGGTCTGCTTAAGTGAGTTCCATCAACATACATAATATGCCTCGCGCCACCCAAGAAACCCTCAATGCATGCCCGTAGGCAATGAAAACACGCTCAAACCGGTTCCCAATAGCAGTCCATTCAGCCACTGATTTTTCATCTGTTTCCTTTATCCTTTCGCATAGCCATGGTATGAGCATGTATGATTGTTCAGGCCTGCCATATATGTCTTCCAGTGACTTCTCTCTTGCTCTATAAGCCTGTTTATATGTTAGATCAATCCCATACTCTCGTTTCAACCTCTTCCTTATCTCAGAAGTGCGCTTGTCTGCATGATCCCTCATCTCATCAATTATTATTGATGAGTTCAAACTAGCTCTTCCACTATGCATCACGTCCAAGCTATCTTGGGCAGAATGAACATGCCAGTTTATAAATGTCGTCACTCGTAGCACATCACAACTCTTCCCCACATGATTTGCACATAGCTTCCATGGACAACCTCAACTTTACACCTTATCGACATGAATTCCTTGCTATTCCTCATATACTTGGCCACAAACTTGTTTGCAAGTGCAAACTTGTATACAGACACCCGAAATACATCTGCACTAGGAAACGTTGGCCCACTCCTGTTAAAAGTCCCCTCCATTCCGCATGAACCATCTCACTACCATCCGTATCTTCAGCTCCGATAGATTTATCCACATTAGGGGGCCCACTTATTTCATCATTGTCACATTCCCGAGCATTTTCTTCACTGAGCCAGCCATAATCACAACACAAACTAATGGGAGACGCATCCAGTTCAGTTTGCTGTGACATGCCCATGAATCTCTCTGTTCTGCATTCATAATGACAAGACTCGTTAACACAAATGACAAGAAGAAATTCATAAATGACAACAAATAGTTAGGACAAACTTCCACTTACATTTCTACATTGTCCCTTGGTTGGGGACCCACTTGTCTTTTTTCGGCCACATACACATGACCGCTGTTCCCATTGTATTGAAAGAGGTTATACATTTCAGCATTGTCATGAAGGTCAATCAATGTCTTCTCATCAAAGGCCACTGTGTACTTAATGTCATAATTTCTTCCATCGCCACCAATCCACTCAGATATCATTAGCCTCAATTCATCAAGTGTCAGCCCATCCTTAATGCTTCTTAACCTCACGCCACCTCCATTATATCTCACTTCACCTTCACCATTTGTCACAAATTTCCCCCCACATGAAAATAACAGAACAGCTCCTTCCCACAAGATGACCCAGCTTCGAAATTCATTTATCTTCATTACCTGCACTGATAACATAACAGAAGTCGAATGATTATATGACTTAATACCATCATCATCAACTTACACGACCAACTTAGGGTTTGACACATTCATGCTTATAATTTGCAACAAAACAATCATTTCTTTCCTGTCCACACTAATGCTTCATTTTCTCAGAATCAATCCACTCCATTATTCGAATCTCCCTCCAACATTGTCCATTTATCTGACACTAATCACTCTAACCCACTTGTGACGCCATCAAACCCCTCTCCCTCAGTGTTTTTCCTTCCCCGTGCATTCACCCTCTGATCACCGTCCTTCCCCCCACACTTTCTATATACCCACGCCGTCTCCATGCTTCGCCACCCTCTCCACCTCAAAACCATCCCCACATCGACGACATTGCCATCCAACGGGAAGAGGAAAATCAACCGGCGCATAAAGGAGAGGGACAAAAGACACAGGCGAACAATATAGTCACTGGATACTAACCTCGCTTCCGTCGTTCAGTTGTTGCTTCGCGCGTTCATGCTCCCACGTTCGTGGTCCCTCCCAACTTTTTCCTCCAGCTCCCGCCACAACTTCCACACTTCCACCGGTCACTTTTTCGGTTTGCATATGAGGGGCTGTTTTGTAATTGTGCAACATTTGCATAATCCCAAATCAGGCAACACTTCCCTATCTGGTAATACATTTGCTTAGCTTCCCATTCTGGCATTTTATTATTTCAGCCTTCTTTATCTGTCATTTTCCCATATAGCAATGTATTGGTTCTAGATAACTTGTGAAAAAATCACACGCTCGCGCACGTGCATTTACTTTTTAAACAAAGTATATTTAACGCAGCTCTTGGATCTTTCGGCTGTCCTGCGAACGCTATTTTTATTATATTTTTCTGGCTATTTCTTATGCATTAGTTACAGCATACTGCTGGTAAAAAAAAAAGGTTACAGCATACTTTCATGAACATAGAGAGTTGTGCTTTGATGTGAGCATGGGCATATATTTCTTTCTGTTTATTAGAAGGCTTATCCATCTGTCCCATTAAAGTTCAGGGGTGGTTAGATTATTAAATTTGTTTGAAAATAAAAATTTAAATTTATTGATACTTAAAACTTCGAAGTGAAAAAAAATTAAGGCTATTGTTAGCCCTTATAATTTGATCGAATTTTGATTCTAATTTATGTAGAGTTTCAAATCATTAGTTTGGGTTTTATGGTTTCATAAGGATTGGGCTTGTGATCAAAATTAAAACTCACTAAAAATATACGGATCATTTGTTAAACTTAGAACAGATTCTTATGAAATTAAAGAGATCAAAACTAAATTTCTATCAAAATATAAGAACTAATAACCATATTAAAAAAATTATACTCTTCTGGTTCTTAATATAAGATCTATTTAACTAATTTGATTAGATTAAAGAAGTTAGGTAAGTTGGTTAATTATAAGAAATATAACATATTTTTCTAAAACACCATAATCATTTTTTTTATAGCCTCCATCCCTCGCCTACTTGATTATATTTGAGAGAGTGTCTATAAGGGTACTTTAGAAAAAATTGATAAATATGAGAAATGGGTCATATATTTAATACTAAAATCGACTTAACAATTAGATCTTATATTAAGGATCGAGGGAGTATCAAATTCTAAATTCTAAATAAGACCAATTTTAAATGTGAATTTGTTTGATTATTTAAATTTTTTTTTTATTTTTATCCTCAAATCATTACACATCTCTCTCTCTCTCTCTCTCTTTAATTCTCTCCCACCTCTTTTTTTTTTTTACTCATTCTCTCTTCCATTTATCCTCTCTATAAACAAGTATATTTTAGAAAAATAAGTTATGGTTTTTTTCCATATTTATTACTAAAATATATTTTAAGTTGAAGGATTAGATTTTAAGGAGAGAAGATGAGACCGAGATACTGGCGATGGCGTCTTTGTATCCAGCAAATGAACGGTTATGATGATGGCGGCTTTGACAACAGAAGGAGATATGAGGGAATATTTTGTGTTTGCTGATTTATGTTTTCTTCTAAAAACTTCAATCATTTTTGTGAAATTTTTAGCATTCAAATTCTTTCTTTCCTTTTTAAACAGTGTTTGCGTAACAATGTCATTTGTCCTATTAATAATTTGCCGAAAAGGCAGGTACTGTTGCTGGAGACGGCCCCACCTTCAAAATTAAAAACAAAACTTTTCAAAAAATTCTCATATTGCCGACGCCGTCATGTCGTCTTTCTTTAGATTCGGCATCCTGTGGCGGTGCCATGCCATGCCAGCATCGAATATATATATGTAATGTAACTTTGCAAGCGCCCTGTTTAGTTTTCTATATCAAACGACACTTAAATTAGTTGATACAGTATTTGTTTGTCAATTTAATTTCTTTTTTTATCTTTCTTTTTTAAAAATAAATTAAAATATCAAACCCTGGCCTTCTAGTTTTAATTGGCCACTTTCATGTGTTTCTAAAATACTTATTCATATCTATAATTTTTTTTTATTTTATACCGTAACAACAATAAGTCTTATTTCACTAAATAGGGTTAGTTACATGAATTACACCACATCACTGTGTTCTATCAACTTTTTTTTATTTTATGCATATTGAAATGTTTTTTTACATCTTTCCTTTGCTTGTAATCGTAATAACATAAAACGTTGGGCATGTTAAAGCAACATTGTTGTTGTTGTTGTTCTTGCTATTCCAAAAACAAAAATTTGACTCAAAAGCAAATTGTTATCAAAACTTAACGGTCAACTTCTTATCCCGAAAAGTCAAGTGTCCGTTATGTGATTTTGTCACAGGCCCGTAAGCAGATGTTTTTCTCATGAAGGTGGGCTAGAAAATATTAATAAAAAATATACATTAACATAAACTGTACTTTTATATTTTTTTTTGGGTGACATGTACATAAACTATATTTCAAATACAGAAATAGTAGGATGGATTAAAAAAAATACAGAAATAGTAGGGAGCATACATGTGGCCCCTTGAGTTTACTAAAAACAAAAAAAATACCATAGCATCAAGACTCCGAAGTGGAGATCAAGATAGACTTCCCCACAACTTTCATAGCAGTGAAATTTTTTTCTCCCCAAAACATTTCATTTTTATCAATGTGAAAATAAAACACTTCGAAAACCTATTCATTATGACAACCTATCACACCAAGACCCTACCAGAGTGAAGGCTATCATTTCAAATTATAAAGGTCAGCGAATTAGTTCAAGATATTTAAACAAAGATATTTTTTTTATAACATTTAAATAAAGACATTTTAATATGTATTTTGTGGGGGAAAAAATGGGAAGGCACTAACGATTGATTCCCACGTGCTACACACTTAACGCAGAGCCAACTTGCAAATATAGCTCTAACGGGTAAGATTCTGCAGGTGCAGAGAGTCGCTTCTTCTCATTGGAGCAAAGTTGAATCTCCGATGGGGTGGGGTCTTGCCTCTTACCATTCAACCAATGTTTGTCTCTGTCTCTCTCTCCCTCTCCTTCTCCTCCGCCCCATTTCTATTTGCGTCACTGCCCTGTTCATAACAGCCATCATTATCGCCGTTTATAACACGTTCGAGAATAGAAAATTGAATAAATAAGAGCAAAAATATCTATCCTCGAATTTTTGAGTTTTTCTATCCCAAAAACCTGTATGCATCTCGCTTGTGCTGAAAACTCTCATAAGTTGGCGGGCTGCTAGAAAGCAATATATGATTCTTTTCTTGAGCTTTCGATGCTGTAACTTCGCTTTTCGGCTCATCCTCTGAGTTCCTCAGGCCTTCAGCCACATGCATAGCGGAGGGCTCAAAACTATTCCAAGCTTTTTTCTCAGTGTTTGGTTTTGAGGTAATCTTAGATGCTCTCCTTCTCTTAGATTGTTCTTGAGGTCTCTTTTGGTCTCCTATGCATTATTAAATGATTAAATTAGCCATGTGGGTCTTCGCCAACTTATTTATATAGCTCAAAGTCACCTCTTTGGAATTTCTGAGCTTGATTTGCTGGTCTGGCAGCCTAATGGGAATATTGAAAGCAAAAGTACGAATATCTTCATACCATGGATTGTTAATTTGAGTAACTGGGCATCTCTTTTCTAGCACGAAATTTCTAATTTCTCATACACACTGCCGAATCTAGTTTAAGGTGTATGTTTTCTACCTAAATAAGTCATTTTGAATCTTGGGACTCCTTGGTTTTTAGTTGATACCGAACAGGGTGCTATTGTGCTGTATTTCTCTTCTTTCTGCCAGGATTTGTTTGTTTTTCCTTTGTTGTTCATCTCCGTGCTCCTGAAGGGGTTCGCACTTGACAGGTGCTTAGCTCTCGGAGGACTTTTCGAGTTTTTTCACCAAAGCGGAGGGGCTCTTGATTGCAAGGTTAGGTCCAATGGTTATGGTGAGGTTACTATTCCTCCTGTTTTTCTGCCTGTGTATTGCCACAGAAGTGGTGGCTAGAGCTGGAAATACCATTACAAACCAGACTAAAGTTCCTCCGAGGCCAAGCGTTGTGAGAATCGGAGCACTGTTTACTTTCGATTCGGTCATTGGGAAATCAGCTAAACCTGCAATTTTAGCTGCCATCGATGAGGTTAATAACGATACGAGCATTCTTCCTGCTACGAAAATGGAAGTTATTTTACATGATACAAACTGCAGCGGGTTTCTCGGCACAGTGGAAGGTATCAGCCATAACTTGCATTTGGTAGCAAGATGCTGCTTTTCTTCGATCAACTGAAGCAGGACATAAGATAATTGTTTTTATTTTGGTAGAAAGTATGAGTTAACTGTGATTTCTTACTAGTCTCCGTCTCATTTTATTTTCTTAACACAGTTGTCGTTTGAGTTCTAGATATAATCTTCCTGTTGTTTTGGACCATTCTTTATTGGATATGTTTCAGTCTGCAAATATATTCAAGTTCATTTTTTTCTCTGTCAGTCTTGCATGTGGAATATCTACTAGTTCATTTTTCATTCCTGCCTAACGTTACTGAGCTCAAAATAAAGCTGAGGATTCACAACCCATTAAGTGTTACCCTGGTTGTTTTGTTATTTTAGTGCATAGAAGGATAGGCTGATAGGGAATCATTTGGTGAGCAATAACCTGGATAGTTGTTTGATTTGAAATCATTGCTGACATTTTTGACAGTCTTTAACTTCGAACACGTTCCATGGTATGGAATCTGAGGGATGAATGTGTCTGTGTTATATTTATCTCTTATCATATTATCTCCTTTATGTATGTGAGCGGAAGGAGAAGTAAACGAGCTTGACAGATTTTCCTGATCGTGTAGCCCTGCAGTTGATGGAGAATGATGTGGTTGCTGCTATTGGTCCACAGTCATCTGGGATAGCTCATGTCATCTCTCATGTTGTTAATGAACTCCATGTGCCTCTTTTGTCATTTGGGGCTACAGACCCTACTCTTGCTTCTCTGCAGTACCCATATTTCGTCCGCACTACCCAGAATGACTACTTTCAGATGAACGCAATCGCAGACTTGGTTGACTACTTTGGTTGGAAGGAGGTGATTGCTATCTTTGTAGATGATGATAATGGAAGAAGTGGAATATCAGCTCTGGGTGACGCACTTGCGAAGAAGCGTGCCAAGATCTCTTATAAGGCTGCTTTCACTGCT